AGTCAAGCCAATATTGTAGGTAGCCAAAAGCATTTAAAATTATCTTTTATCAAATAACTATTATAATATGTACAAGTCATAGCACTAGTCTATGAATTGTACATTAGTGGAAACTGTACTTGAGTTTTGTTATTTGTGACTTGAACAATGATGCAATGTATGTTACTAGATTATATAGGTATATCCTTCCTTATCCAATAAACTATTAACAAAAGTAAAATACTAATTACATTAATATTTATGTATTTCGGTTCACTGTTGACTTTAGGAGGAATTATTTGCGAGTACAATTAGTAGCAGACATGTTTATTATTGTGTCTACATATGTGTATCAATAGAATTTTGAATCTATTTTGTAGCAATAGATACTTTTGAAGGTAGTCATTTGGCTACCTCTGAATTTTAGACAGTGGACAAATTCAAATTTAGGTCGCATTGGTGATCATTTTAGTCGCAACTTTGAGGCCTGAGAGGCAGCAAATGTGTTGACCTATCTTATAGGTGCTTGTGTCTCCTTCATCGAGTATGTCGATCAATTATCAGCTGTTGGTCAGCTGCTACTGTTTGTTTGTTGCTTAATGCCGCATTCAGCAATATTCCAGCTATATGATGACGGTCGGTAAATAACCGAGTCTGGACCAGACAACCCAGTGATTGACATCATGAGCATCTATCTAGGCAATACGGATTCTGCATAGCCTGACTACATGACATGACATGACATGACATGATAATCATGACAATAATGACTATAAAACCATAAAGCTATAATGCCTTAATTTACAGCAGCATAATTCTCCAATTCCTACTGAACACGACAGAGTGCATCTGATCTCAAGTAAATGTGTTCAAAGTCCAATGAATGTACATACATAAGAGGTCAGCTTCTTGAGATAATGAATGTGGAGACGGAGATAGGACACACATGTAACACCTGGATATCACATGTGCTCCCTGTACAAAGACTTCATCATCACTCCCAGCACAAACAGCCTCAACACTAGACTCACATTTAGTCCCAGGAATAAAATTATGTAATTTAAATATTTAGAGAGAGAAAATTAAAAAAACAAAATCCAAATGGAGCCCAGAATAATCCTTACTGAGGCAATCTAGACTTGCCAAATCATCCTAGACTTTAGCTGTCTTGACTCTTTTTTCAATTTTTATTCTCTCGGCTTTGAAAGAGAGACTACCTCAACACCTGGGTGAAAGACAATCAATGGCACTCTGGCAACATGTGTTTAAATTGATATATTAGATAATTCAAACTAGACAGTCTTTTTCTTTAAGTGTGAAAGACATATTAGCCAGATGTCCACATTCCAAATTTTGTCTTTTGGCCAAACCACTTGTTACATTTGTTGTTTTAAAACCATATTTGTTAATAGACCCCTGAATATCCGGGCTACAGGTGGCCAGGCCCACTGACTTGGTTGATGCATATCATCATATCCTAATTGTGTAGATCGATGCTCATGATGTCAATCACTGGATTGTCTTGTCCAGACTTGATTATTTACAGACTGTCATCATATAGCTGGAATATTGTTGAGTGTAGTGTTAAAAAAAACAAAAAACATATTATATATGTTAAATATTTGTGAATAGGACAAGATACAGAAATTGATATGGGATCCTATAACCTGATAACAGCCAATGGAAATCAACAATGATAAAATGGTCAATACAATATTTTTTACAAAAATATAATTCATAATTATTTCTTTATATATTTATAGGGAGAACCAAAAATATCCATATGTTTGTCTGCTTGCTGCTTAGCGTCACTTAGCAATATTCTAGTTAAACGAAGCACCTCAAATACTGCCCAGCTGTTTTACTGATCATGCTGATGCAACAGCCTGTAGAATGTTCATTGTTTGTTTGATCAATACAAACAAAGGCATTTCAGACATGACTGATATCAAACAACTATCAGGATTCCTTTATAGGAACACTATTAGATCGCAATCAGGACGAAACAAAGTATAGAGTAAAGTGCCTTCTACAAGTGTAGTAGCTTGATTAGAAATAATCAAGTTATCTTATGACAGAAAATTTACAGTTTCATGTACTACAAAGTTTTCTAAAATTAAGGAGGGGCATGTGACAAGACTCCAGAAGAGAGTCACATCTCAAAAATGGACTTAATGACCAGTTCTTAATGTAAATAATAAAAGATCTATCAATTAATGTATTGTTGTGGATACGCTTTTTCATTCCTGAGCACTGTAGCATGTACACTCAAAACATAGAACCATACATCTATATGTTTGCCAATCAGCAATATTCTAGTTAAACGAAGCCTGGCCTCAAATACTGCCCAGCTGTTCTACTGATGCAACGGACTGTAGAATGGTCATTGTTTGTTTAATCAATACAAACACAGGCATTTCAGACATGACTGATATCAAACAACTATCAGGATTCCTTTATAGGAACACTATTAAATTAGAATCAGAATGAAATAGAAAATGGAGTAAAGTGCATAATATAAGAGCATTAGCTTGATTAGGATTATTCTGGTTACCTTATGACAGAAAAGTTACATACTTTGATGTATGACAAAATTTCTAAAATTATGGAGGGGCATATGACGAGACTCCAGAAGAGAGCATAAACATGTTTACATGAAACAGAATATATCTGTGCTTCACAGAACAGAGTTAAATAAATATTATTCTAAGATTGACTTTGGCTATAAAATTTTAAATCTTATATGTGCCTTACATAAATGCTAACTGTATGTGAACAGGATGTTTTAGAAATTTCTTTGGTTTTTTATATAGATTATTTTTACTATTTGTAAAAGACTTAATCTTAATAAGCAGTTCTCTAATTTAGCCAGACTCTTCAAAATGGTGTTAAAAATACCAAGTTGATCATGTTGATACTTCTACACTATATAACAAAAGACGCACTCAGGTTTTTATATCTCGAAAATGAATTTAAACAGCCAGTTCTGAATGTAAATTAAAAAATTACCATTATATTGTTGAAGATACATCCTGTCATATCTGAGCACTGTAGCATGTACTCTCAAAGGGAGAACCAAACATATCTATGTGTTTGTTTGCTTGTTGCTTGGCCCCACGCAGTGATATTCCAATTATATGACAACAGCAAATAACGGTAAATAATGAAATCTGGACCACACAAACCAGTGATTGATGTTGTGAACAACGATCCACATTGTTGGGGCACAGTGACACACTATCACTCAAGCCACAGAGCCTGGATACCTAATCCATGATGTCGTACCTCTTACGACCAGCATAGATTTTAACAGGTAACTGCCACAAGGGCATATTGAATTGTAAGTCAGGATACACACTTACGGAACACACCTAAGGTATTTTAATAAGCTGGTTTGGATTTGGAGGTTTGGGCCATATTGAGATTAAAATTTTAAAAAGAGGTTCATTCACGCCCCCCCCCCCCCCCCCCCCCACCCACACATCCATCACTGGATCACTGGTCATAGACTGTCTTGTTGGGGATGGACCAGGAAGCTCCATACAAAAACACTCCTGTATCTATAACACCAAACATGCTAAATACATGTCGCATAAAGCGTCTTACAGTATCACTTACAAACCACAGCTCCAGATGAATATAATCAATGAACCCAGTTAACCCTTTCTATTTATAGACAGGCTTCTAATACAGTCTATCTTCTATTCATTTCATACACATTGAACAATAGCTTCAAAGCTATTCCAACGTCAACTTCCTGAAACAGGAGCTCTACATGTTTGCTTCAATGTCCTCAGGCATGTGTGAAAATGGGGAGGGGAGTCTAGACATCATTGATAGGATTTCCACAAACAGGTGGGATTGGGGACTGATGAACTAGAAATCAGGACATTCGTAGAGTATATAAAATTTAATTGGATACTGACAACCAAATTTGAACAATTCACACCTGAGAACTTTAAGTATTTAATAGATTACGGAAATACACATTGGTTTAGTATTAGATTACGAAAATACACATCCCATAATAACCTCTAAATTGTCATATATTTCTACTGATAGACCAAATTCCTATTGTTCATGGTTTCTTTTCATTTTGTGTATAATAAATAATAAATGTATATTTTGAGACCTCATATACATTTGGATACTAAGAATGATTAGAAATGTCACTAATGAATGTTCAAACCTTGTAAATACAAACTTCTATCTATCAAAATTGAAAATGTTTACATGAATATGTAAGTTCAACCACACAATTTTTCAATCAAAGACAAAACATTCAGTTACAAATAGAGTTACTTGCACAGATCCAAATTATTTTAAAAACAAGCTCTTTGAAAATCTTTAACATGATGATTGAAAAAAACCCAGAAAATCAGACACCCCCTTAAAAGTCTCAACCCCGAATTGCCACCTGACTGTGCACAATATAGACCTTGAACATGGTGACCACTGAAGCAAACATGAATCTTCAAAAACATTTATATACACATGACACAGCTCCAACAATGACTATTCCGTGCCCAGTCAACCGTGCGATGTCTATTACTGTCCATTCACATTTTGGCCAGCGCACTTTTATCGACTTGCTGGGTGGGCGTGTCGGCTCTTTGCCCCAGTCAGTTGGCATTCAGTGAAAAATCACCATTCTGTGCAAATACGGGTTTTAAGAAACGTTTGCAAAAAATATCTTTTACCCCTGCTACAACTGAATGTAACGACAGGCAAGCTATTAATTATTGACTTCGACTTCGTTCTGTGCGCAGCGTGGCGTTACGTCGCCAATGTAATCGAGGTCAACATCGATCCAAATTATGTCTCCTACTAACTTATACAACCACCGCAAGCACTTATTTTCTTGACAGTTGGAATTTCGGCATATAACAGCCACGATGTGACATGACCAATCGAGATGACACAGTCACGCTGTGGAAATCACATGTAAACAAATAAACGTGAACGGGTCACGATGCAATGCCAAGCTGTATAACTTTGTAACAAAATAATGTTCCACGCACCTGCTAAAATTCCCTTTAGTGTCTTGGCACCGCTTCTCGGTGCGGCTGCCATTTTACTCCCATCTCTCCCGTAGAAGGGGGACACAAGCCCCTGCGTTCCCCTGTCCATAGCGCTGTCAACTCAGTTGTGGCTGCATCAGTAATAACACTAGCGCGTCACCAGTTGCTCGTCCGATAATCACGCTAGCATTCAACGCCCTCTACACGTGGGAAATTCTGTGACCTAGTTCAAGGGTCATGGTGGGATATAGGTCATTTCCGGGACTTGCATCATTCAGAATCTATCGGAATCCTGTTTGAATTTGGTTGGATTTTCAGTAACAAAATGTGGCACACGGCTTCAGATGCAGGTGGCATATAATGTTTATCTTAAGAAATGTCTAGCAATTGTGAAAAAAAGTAGAAATGTTTCAAATTCACTCTTCGTGACAAATGTTGGACAAGACTATACAGCGATGTTCCGATTGAGCCGATGATACTCGTAAAAGATAGTAGATTCTTTAAAACATTTTCTGTCTTCATTGCTGTTCGAGTGCACTTCGATCGATCGCAAATCGGATTGTGCACAAAAACATTGACATTAAGAATAAAAATGGGTGCAGGCTAAAACGTCACCGATTTCAATAAAAGGCAGTTATATAATCTCCGTCTTTCATTGACATGCAAGTCATGCATGACCAATGTTTCTATATTTATATTTCATGCAGTCAGTTCATATATTTGTTGCAACTAAACAGATAGCTGTCACCAAGAGATAGGCACGGAAGCTCAAATGAATCGCCCTTCTCAGCTTGGGTAATCCCATACTACCGAGTACCGACACCAATTGTCCTTCTGCTTGGCTATACTAACCTGATTATTTGTTTATGAGTGAGTGAGTGAGTTTGGTTTTACGCCTCTTTTAGCAATATTCAAGCAATATCACGGCAGGGGACATTTGCTTATAAAAGTAGAGTTGGAATTTAAGCCGCTTTTGGCAATATTTCATCAATATCATGGCGGGGGACACCAGAAATGGGCTTCACACATTGTACCCATGTCGGGAATCGAACCCGGGTCTTCAGCGTGACGAGCGAACGCTGTAACCACTTGGCCACCCGACCGCCCCTAGTTAGAAAGAATCCTGCAAATCCTACCAAAACAAAATAATAAACACTGATATTAATTATGAGTAATTATTAACATTCAATTCCAATATAACAAAGACACGTCTATGAATTCGCCTTAAATTGTGTCTACGAGTTGGTAGAGTGGCTGCGGATTCACCGTTTCCCTTTTTTGTGTATATTTGCAGTTTATATTATCTCATTTTTAAAATCATATAATATAATTTAGAATAAACATTATTACTTAAAGACCAAATCTATTCAGCCCAGTTTGTCACAGTTATGTTAATGTAATGCGTATCTTAACTATCTCAGTTTAAACAAGTACAATTTGAATAAGCGTCTAAACAGATCACATATTGCTTCTAATTATTGCCGGATGCAGTTACAGTTACGCTACGTTTGTGTCCCAAACATAATAATAATCGTTTTCATTTGGTGACGACACGTGTAGATCCGGGTAGTTCAGCAACCCATAAACAAATCCATTATTAGGACTTTACAAAAATAGGTAAGTAGCCCTCCCCCAAATGCCTAAATCTTATTTTTTCATGGCCTAAGCTAAGTACATACAAAGTGTAACATATTCGCCGTAATAGACCCGTGAAGATTAGGGGATAGAATAGGTCTTCAGGAACCCATACCTTCTGTAAAAGGCGACTATGCTTGCCGTAAGAGGCGACTAACGGGATCGGGTGGTCAGACTCGCTGGCTTGGTTGATGCATGTCATCGATCCCAAATGTGTGGATCGATGCTCATGATATTAATCACTGGATTGTCTGGTCCAGACTCGATTATTTACAGACCGCCATCATGCAGCTGGAATATTGCTGAGTGAGGCGTTAAACAACAAACCAACAACATTTGGTGACAAAACCAAATTTGTTATGCCATTCTAAAATATAAATTGTGGCTGTTATGATTTTCTTCAATTAAAAGAGATCTGTAATATTTTTAACCTGGCACATTTATTTTGTCGTTTTTTTTAACCACGAGAGACACAATAAAATTATTTTATTTGGCTATAATAAAGCATTTTTCAAGAAAGTTTATTTCATGGAAGGGGTAAGAAAGGCTATCATAACATATACTACATAATTAAGCTGCGTAACAGGTATCATTTAAAACATGTGTTAACACACAAGAAATAACATTAAACCGCACCAGCAGCCATACTCCCAGCAGCTACAGTCGATTCTTATTAGTTGTAAAGCTAATAGTTTCACAACAACTTCCTGTTAACGCACGCGCAGTTTGCTGTAGCAACCACGGTTGCTAGGAAATCGCCACTGTCAAATAGGCTGGTAGAAAAGAGCACACTGTTTAGGTCAAATCGCCAGATATATTCGCGATCCGTTGGAAGTTTCCCGAAGTTTCAAGGTAATGTTTCTGATTTGATATCTCGTTCAACTTTCACCGGCTCTGGTATAGGAAACTTAAACACCGTTACTTTGCACAACCATTGTACAACTAGAAAGTACCGATAAAGGACTTTGTTTACATGGTTTAGCAAATTCACAACGATGACAATGTTGACTATAGGGGCGGCTTCAGTTATTATGTCCTATTTATTTAAAGTGTGGGGAAGATTTATTGACCTACTACAATATATACATTCTTTCTATCTAAAGACCAAAAAAGTAAAGCAATGCACACCACTTCACTAGATGTGCACTGGGGAAAAATGTTTTTGGGTTTCACAAACGCTTTTGTCCAAACAATAAGATGAAATATTTCTCACTGGTAATGGGCAGAGTTGACTGAATGTATTTTGTTTATTTTCAGACCCATCCTTTGAGAAGCCATGGCCAAGGTGGTTTCAGCCCCGTCACGCTTTGCTCACGAGGACTGGACTCGGTCTAACCTCACAAAATATGCAAATGCTGAAGTCGAAAGGGCAGCATCTGAGAGATTAGTTGAAGAATCAAAACGTTTAGCTGATGAAACAGAGAAAAGGACAGATAAAACTCAAAGGGATGTCAACAAGAAATTCGGTAAGAATTCAACTGACAATTATCCTTATAGTTAGGGAACGCTATAGAACTTTAAACAAATAACAGTGTTTATTTCTGTTCAGCTCACTATTCATGGTTTATTTTCATTTGCCCCCTTATCATCATAACCATAGGTTTTTATACTGGTTCTAATGATGTGGTATATAATCTGTTGTTGCCAATGTGTTAACATGGCTTTAAAATCATGTTTTCTGTACAGTGTATTACAGTTTAAATAGAAAGTAGAATAAATTATTAAATCACAGCACACACATTTATACTAGTTTGAATGAAAACTAATTCTAGTACATATTCCAGGTAGCTGAGGATGATTCTAATTATTATCAAAGCCAAAGAACAATGATAATTATAATTTCAAGAGCCTTATGACAATGACAACAAGAAAACTGTGTTATCACTATCCCCTGCTATGGGGCAGATTAGAATGTTGTTTGTTCATATAGTAGTGAATAGGAACTGTAAAAAAAAAAGAGTCCTTTCTAGCCTTAAGAAGAGATAGGCACTAGGGTCCTTTTATGTCATCAGAAAAATGTATAAATGTGAAATTAATATATACAAAAGGCCCATTCTCTGAAAAAACTCTGTTCCTATTACCCCCGCACCACTTTGAGGCATGGAATAATAATCTTTCACAGAGCCTGTTGGCAGCCATCTTGATCATGCTATTAAATCATTCACATTGCCTTAACAATAGGTTTCAAAATGTTAGTCCACTAGATTGATACTACCGGTACTAAACTTCAGCCATGTGAAGATTCCCAGTTAGAACAGGTTTTTAGCAACCTGGCCCGTGAAGATCAGGGTTAGAATTGGTCTTCAGCAATCCATGTTTGTCGTAAGAGGCGACTAACAGGATTAGGTGATCAGGCTCACTGATTTGGTTGATGCATGTCATCATATACCAATTGCGTAGATCGATGCACATGATATCAATCACTGAATTGTCTGGTCCAGACTCAAATATAATTATTCACAGACCGCTGTCATAAAGTCGAATATTGCTGAGTGCGACATTAAGCAAAAAACAATAAAAACAAACATTAGCAACCTATGCTTGTCATAAAGGATGACTTTCATGATCTGATGGTCAGGCTTTCTGACTTGGTAGATTCATATCCAAATTGCATAGAACATTTCTCACGATGGCAATCACTGCATTGTCTGGTCCAGACTCAAATATAATTATTTACAGACCTACAGAATAGCTGGAATACTGCTGAGTGCGGTGTTAAACAGTGCAGCATTAAACAACAAACAAACAAGACAAAAGTAAACATTAGGATTAAGTGCCATTTCCGTGTGGACTACCACTTTTACCAATGGGTAGATGGCAACTCTGTAGCAGATCAATATGCAGACAAGAGAAAATGTATCTAAATTCCTTTCCCTGAAATCTTCAATGACAATGATTATTATTCCAATAGTCTTATGACAGTGATGATTATGACTGACAGAGCAGCGCCTGGATGACATCAAGTACTGGAAGAAGGAGCTTGACGACAAGCTTGACAGTCTCGCGACGGAGGTTGACAGTCTGCAGACCTTCAAGACCCGAGTGGAGAAAGCACTGGAGGCTACAGAGGAACCCCTGCATATAGCAAGGCAGTGTCTCATCAACAGGTAGGAACATGGAGCTGTTTATACTACCATATTCGACGTAATAATCGCCCTGCTCTAATAAGTGCCCACAGCAATATTTCCTAATATATTGGCTGGTGAACAATCCCAATTAGCACCCCTTCCAATTGATCAATGTACACAAGACTTATTTATTCGTGTATAATACACACTTGTGTGTTATATGCGCCCTTAATTATGGGCAATTAAATTCTGGAAAATATATCTGTTGTACATAAACATTTCAGGCTGTCAGTACAAACCACGAAATTTATCTTTCAACTGTTTTTCTCACCAAAATAATATTCTAATAAGAGCCCCCTATTTCTAATTTTGAGAGCACCCTGGGCGCTTATTACGTCGAATAAGGTAATGCTTTTGAGGACTGATAGTTTATAGATATTTCAACAAATAGGAAAGGTAGGTCGAAATAACAATAAATATATCTCATTATTTTTTAGTTTGCATGATTTTGTTTCGTATGGTCAGTTAATGGGTTAAATATAAATACCAACTCTCTTTGACTGTGTTTTTGGAGTAATATTTGTTTAGTTGTTTTAAAAGCAGGAAACCAAAACCTCGTTCGGCCACGTACCCATTGTTCTTTAATCCTGGAATGATTTCACCGAGGATGGAACCATCTGCATTAGCATGGTTTCCCTGAGCACACCCATGTTAGAATAGAACCCATGCTTGTCATAAGAGGCGACTAACAGGGTTGGATGGTCAGACTCGCTGACTTGGTAGATGCATATCATCGTATCCCAATTGTGTAGATTGATATTCATAATTAATCATCCAGGTACTCGGGTCTGATTAAAAGTCAGTAATGGAACAGATGTTTACTATGTGGATTGCTTCTGCAGAGAAAAGCGCTTTGGGATCGACTTGGTCCATGATGATGTGCAGAAGGAACTGATCAAGGAGGTGGAGACAATCGAGGGAGTTCAAGCCCTCCTCAGACGCACCCTCGAACAGGGCACTGAGCAGATCAGGTGAGTTGTCTCCCTTGCACAGTTATGAGCCTACCAGCCAGGACATGTTGTAAACATCATTGTAGATTTTTCAGATTTCCTTTATAGAAGTTTCTTTTATTCTGTTTTAAAGTGCTGGATATTTAATATTTTAACAGTGAGTATCTTTTTATGCTCTTTTAGCAATATTCTAGCAACCTGAAATGGGCTTCGCACACTTTACCCATGTGGGGAATTGAACCTTGACTGGTTGATTGACAAGAGGACACTTCAATAACTAGGCTTCTCCACTGCCCTTTTTTAACAGTGACATGTATATGTATATGCTTGTGACAGAGAGCTTTGTACTAAGAAATTAGGTATTGAATGTTGAGTTCCTGTTTTTTCTTTTATGAATATCAGGATGCAGCAATCTGTCACAAGCACTGGTGTTCTTGCAATCTAAAATGTGTGTATTGTTTCAGACTGAACCGCAAATCGCGTTACCAGTTGGAGAAAGATCTGAAGGATAAGTTCTCCTCCATGAGCATCGATGAGTACTGTCAGAATCTCCGCAACAACTCAGCCAACCTCAGATACAAGGAGGGCACCGCCAAGATCGAGGCAAAGTAGGTGTTGGTGTACACACTATACAGCTAAGGCCTGGATTTCACAGAAAAGTAGCTTTAATGAATCAATACCGGGCATACTTGGAAATACAGCTTTCTTTTCGAGGGAATTTATGTACTGGGTTGGCAGTATGCAATTTAGCAAGAGCTGTACATATGATAACATATAGTATAAGGGTAACGCTATTTTTCAGGGCATCATCATTTGCAGAAGCCTGAGGTCTTCAATTAACTGCCTGACGAAGGAGGGCAGTTGAAAAGACCGAGGGCTTCTGCAAATGACAATGCCCTGAAAAATAGCGTTATCGTTATTATAGCTAAAATGGATGGAATTTGTTATCATATAAAAAGAAACAACAATATCGGTTTTGAAACATTTACTGCAATCAACACGAATGTCACTGACCCACTTTTACAAATATGGAAACGTCATAGAACAAACCAGATGACGTCACTATTGAACGTGACGTCACGTATCCCTATCCTATGACGTCACCTTACAACGGGCGTGATAATGGCCCGTCGTCAAGTAATATGAGGGCATTATCAAGTTACAGTGGCCCGCGCATTCCTGATAACACGCAGGCGTTTTAATGATAATTCTATCCATTTTAGCTATAAAATATGATAACCCATGTGTTTATGATAATACTTTCAAAAGTCTTAAAACTGAATTTATGCTGTGAATTGAGGAAAAGCAATAGCAACAACTGTAGTCCAATTGATTAAAGATATATGAAACTCCAAATTTCCATACTGGAATGGTCTTGCATCACCAATGTTACACCTCCAGTCTATTAGAACAAATATTTGCTACCATATGGTTCAATTAAGGAAGTCATGTGTCTATCACCATCACTTTATCACACATGTAATTTGATTGGATGGCTATTTTCAGCATGGTGTTATTTAAACATAAGTATGCAATGCTAGCGAGTATGCAATGCTGGGTCTTGGATATTTATAATAACAGAGCTGAGATAGTTTACGCCGGCTAATCTAAGATGAGAATTATTTATTTAACCATTTCCTAACATGAGTTATCCCCCTTGAACAGTTCCGTTACACCAGAGGACTGGCAAGATTTGCCTCGATCTTGGATATTTATAATAACAGAACTGAGTTTACACTGGTTAATCTAAGATGAGAATTATTTATTTAACCATTTCCTAACATGAGTTATCCCCCTTGAACAGTTCTGTTACACCAGAGGACTGGCAAGATTTCTCGAATGCCAACATTGAGCAGGCAGAGCGTGAGAGACAGAGCTCTGTGGATCTGAGGTCTCTGGTCGACGGTATCCTGCAGCAGTCCTCCAATGACATGCAGAAGCAGTGTGAGGCTGTTGACCTGGCCTTCAGCAAGCGCATTGCGGAAACCAAGGACACCAAGGGCAAGCTGGAGGACCATCTTAACAAGGTACTGGAGGCCTTTCTTAGAGCAAGTCTTATCAGGACCCTGGCTAAACAACCACAACATGGCAGAACAGTGATATTCAGGCTGGATCTGAACATTTTCTTACATTAGGTTACAAACCTGTTATTGTGAAGATTCTCCCAAAGCTATGATCTATTCTGATTGGTCAATCAGGGATTTCAAATTAAAAAGGTTTCTGGTAATTCAGGTTTCAATAGAAAAAACATATCTGTTGGCCTGGCATTTTCAAAACTGTATATTAATATATATAAATGTTTTTAATGGCCTTGTATTGCAAACAATAATATTGAACCATTTCCATCTCCAGGTTCTTGCCCAGATCAAGGAAATCGAAGAGAACATCTCGCGCCTCATGAAAGCCATCGCTGACAAGGAATCCCCACTAAAACTGGCTCAGACACGTCTTGACACCCGCACAAACCGACCCAACGTGGAACTGTGTCGCGACCATGTGCAGTACCGCCTCATCGAAGAAGTTGGGGAAATCGAGGAATCTGTTGGACGTCTCCAGGAACGTCTTCAGCATTCCCAAGATTCCCTCAAAGGACTCATTCGTAACCAGCTGTCGTTGGAAGAGGATATTCAGGTCAAGGCCAACACCCTGTTTATTGATGAAGTCGAGTGTATGGGTATGAGGAAGAGCATCAACATTCAGAGTTATTGAGGGTCGCACTAACAGTTATGTTCATTAATATTTTCACTCGGACATCGTTTGGAATTATGAATTTGCATCTCCGATATATGCCCCTTTGTTAAAGATTACAAACTGTACCATTGAAATTCTATTCATTTTTAATATTTGGTCAAGAAACAGCATAAAAGTCAATTTGAGGTCACTGCTTTCAATGTTTACATGTTCTTGATATTGAGTAGAAATGTCACATTTGAGAAAATTATTCATATCTGTAACACTCTTTTGTGGTCAACATTATTTTTTTAATTATGTTGAGCTTTAATGGAACATTTACTCAGTTCAGTTGACAGATCTTGACACCAAATGATTCTGTTTCCAAAGTTTTAAAGAGTTTGTCATCATGGTTCTGTTCTAGCAATACTACCATTGAACAAGTTTATGCATTAACCTGAGAATGTAACTGTGAATTTATGATATCACCAGGTACTGCATCTATTGTCCAGTGCTTATCTTAAACTGTGATGAAGATTTATTTTGCCAGTGTACACTTTATATAGCTGTACATTTTGTCAGTATATGTATTCTGTGAATTTACATGTTATCACAATCGTAGGTAATAAACCTGGAATTTAACTATGCACTTTTAGTTGTTTTTGTATGAATTGAGATGAGGTGTGGAACCAACACTAGGTCATACCACATCAATGAGCGTAAACAGGCGGTGGGGTAGCCTAGAGGTTAAAGCATTCGCTCACCACTCTGAAGACCCGGGTTCAAATCGCCACATGGGGACAATATTGAAGCCAATTTCTGGTGTCCCCAGCCCTGATATTGCTGGAATATTGCTAGAAACAGTTTGAAATCATCCTCAAGCTTCAGCAGTGTTCGAAGGGTCAGTAGCTCGCCTTCAGGTGAAGTCTTTTAAAAGGAATATTTTATTTTTTTTGAAAATAGCTACAAAGTGACATGGGGACAGGGGCAAAACAAGGAACTAAATTAGTTTGACCTAATGTTAATGAGGGGCGGTCGGGTAGCCTAGTGGTTAAAGCGTTCACTCGTCACGCCAAAGACCCGGGTTCGATTCCCGACATGGGTAAAATATGTGAAGCCCATTTCTGGTGTCCCCCGCCGTGATATTGCTGGAATATTGCTAAAAGCGGCGTCAAACCATACTCACTCACTCACTCACTAATGTTAATGATAACAATATCTTATATAAATATCCAATTCTATCCCTGAGAAAAAATCAAAATCAGAAAGGTAAAGGATGCCAAGGGTGTAAAGTGTCAGAACTTGATTGGCAAACTAAGAAATGTTAAATTAATCATTGTATCACAGAAGAATATAAGAAAGACTAGCTGCACAATAAACAGCAAACAACAATAAAGAATGAAGTGTGATTTATTTCACGATAAAACATTGTTCTATCATGTCATTTCTGGAGATTCGAACATGCACCTGCACCTGCAACTTGATGTCGTGTATTGGACAACATTATTTTTGAGAGGGGAATGTCTTGTGAGTTGTTCCCCTTAGATGTAGCTTGCCAACACAGATAAACGGGATGGCTAAACGATCACATCCAAAAGCGGGAGAGATATGACCATTAGTATTGGAAGTAAAGGTACAGGTGAGGATTGTGAGAATGTACCGGAAATATCCACCTGTTCCAAATATGGACTTGTCCGACAATGCCGAGGTTGGATTTTATTGAGGGAGTCATTATTAAAATATGGGTAAATATTTTAAAGCTTGTACAATTATCATCACCCTTAAAGAGACTGTAAATAATGTGTGATATATCATATAAGAGATTCTTAAGTAAAAGGATGTATCATAACCTTGTCCAGCAATAACCAGTTAATTTTGGGCAGAATAGGTGACCACCATGATGAAGAGGCCGCTGAGAATCTGGTTGTCACATTGTGTGACTCACCTGTTTGACTTACGCCCCGATGGCTCATGCTGTTAACCACTGGCAAGCCTGGCCTAGACTTGTTGATTCACGGAGTGAGTTGGGCTTAACACCGCTTCGAACAATATTCCAGTTACATGTATATCAGGCATGTCAGCTTAATATGGGAAGGAAAGTGATGCAGGTCTGAGACATTAACCACTTTAGGTTACCATGCCCCCTTCGTGGTCTTGTGGTAGAGCGTCCGCCCGGAGAGCGGAAGGTCTGGGGTTCGATCCCCGGCCGCGTCATACCAAAAGACGTTAAAAGATGGTACTTGTTGTTACCCTGTCTTGCGCTCGACATTAAGGGGCTAAAACAAGGACTGGTCGGCTCGGAGTCAGTATACTGTGTCTGAGTGGGGTATTCATGTTAAACTGCGGCATGGTATCTCAGTGACTTAGCACTATAAATCGGCATCAGTCCGGACTAGTACAAGCAGCCACACAAACACACACACGTGCATGCACGTCGCTGCAAGTGCAATAATCTTGGACGCGACGTTAAACCCAATTTCACCTCACCTCACCTTTAGGTTACCACCAAGGGATGCAACTCTGCACAGCAAATTGTGGTGCCTTAGATAACTGGGCCACCCGTGCCCATCACAACACCCCAGAACATTGTAGAAGTGTGTATCTATTGTTTCTATTGTTTCAAAATAAAATGAGCATTAAATGTATGACAAATGAAGTCAAAATATGATACAATTTTGAGTAAACATGCAAGAATATATGCTTATTGTCAAATTTTTCTCAAATCTTCTCCCCGTGTTGATATTGCTTGAATATTTCTAAAAGCGGCGTAAAACTATACTCACTTACCCTAATTACCACCAAGGGACACAAAGTGAATTTGCAGCGGCTTAGATGCAGGGGCCACACTTGCACACGGCTGAGTGAGTGAGTGAGTGTGAGTGAGTGAGTGAGTGAGTGAGTGAGTGAGTGAGTGAGTGAGTGAGTGAGTGAGTGAGTGAGTGAGTGAGTGAGTGAGTGAGTGAGTGAGTGAGTGAGTGAGTGAGTATGGTTTTTCGCCGCTTTTAGAAATATTCGAGCAATATCAAGGTGGGGAGGACACCAGAAATGGGCTTCACACATTGTACCCATGTAGGGAATCGAACCCAGGTCTTCAGTGTGACGAGTGAATGCTTTAACCACTAGGCTACCCGACCACCCCTCGGCTGACGTGACACCCGAGGACTGGTGTTCGTTGTTTAAGGCTGAACTCAGCAATATTCGAGCACCAGTGCGGACTGGGGTACAACAACACTCATATCAGGATAATGCACAATAACAAACATACTAAATTTGACAAAATGTTTATTAAATGTGTGAAAATATAAATCTTTTGCTCACGATAAATTAATAAATTAGGCTTACATGCATGATAAGGAATCAGGCAACAAACAACGATGTAAAATACACACTTCATACAGTCAACATACAAGCTACAATCAAAGAATTTTACAATCTGTATGAAATGGAAAATCCTAGAAGAATCAGATCTTTTGCTCCCACACGTACCTTCCTGCATCCCACAGGAGGTTGTATAAGCAAGAAAATCATTCAAAGCAGCATATGTTACTTCTGTATTCAAACATAAACAGTCAGTTCCATGTGGCAATAATAAAGGATCTGCTCAATTTCTTGAGGAGACACACCCTATCTCCTCTGACTGCCAAGGCATCTACACCCAAAAGGGAGCACTATCGAAAGAAAACTTGCGTTTTGTGTTGTTTTTCTTTTGTTAAGATCAATGTTTCTGACCAAGGGAGGAAAGAAATTATGCCAAACTGTTTTAGAATGCTGATAGCTCAAGATTGGCTCAAGTACCAATGCATCCTTCACTGATATTGGTCTTTCAAAGCTTTACCAGAGTAAAAGATTTGATTCTAATGAAATGGATTAAGGAGCCTTGGAAATAACTAAGGCTTTACATAATTACTTGGTTTACAAATTTTTCACAAATGTTGAATTAAAAGAAATTATCCTTTCTGACGAGAAGCAGCCAATTGTCTTTACTATTCATGCCATTTTCCTTTAACCATTGATGAAAAACAAAATCAAAATTAGGAATCCCACACATAAAAAAAAATAGACTTACACTTTACACAAATTGTGCTTGTATGTTAATGCCGCACTCAGCAATACTGCCACTATGTGATGACAGCCTGTAAATAATCAAACCTGGACCAGTGATTGATATTGTGAGCAACGATCCACGCAGTCAGGGTACAATGACATGCAATCAACCAGCAAAGCTGTCCATCTCACCAAGCCCGTCCACCTGATCCATTTGGCTGCAACCCGTGAAGATCCGGGGTAGAATAGGTCTTCAGCAACCCATGCTTGCTGTAACAGGTGACTATGCTTGTCGTAAGAGGCGACTAACAGGATTGGGTGGTCAGGCTCGCTGACTTGGTTGATACATGACATCGATCCCAATGGATCTATGCTCATGATATTAATCACTGAATTGTCTGGTCCTGACTCGATTATTTACAGATCGCCATCATATAGCTGGAATATTGCTGTGTGTGGCGTTAAACAACAAACCAACCAACCAACCAACCATTTGGTTGCCTGTTAGGACCAGCATAGGTTGCTGGGGACCAACTGTAACCCAGAATCCTGTATACAATTTTGTGATGAAGACAAAAAAGACACAGATACAAACACAAATCATTACAGGTGTAAGTAGAAATCATTTCATAACATATATTTATATATATATGCATACATATATTAAAAAGCTGAGCAAGGGAGGTAATTCCGGAACCCCTTCCTGCTGGTGATCGCCCCTCTCCTTACCCTGTATGTAGAAGATTAATATCGTATTCGACGTAATAAGCGCCCACAGGGATATTTGCTAATATATTGGCTAGTGAACAATCCCAATTAGCACCCTTCAGATTGATCAATGCACACAAGACTTACTTATTCGTGTATAATACGCATTCGTGTGTTATATGCACCCTTAATTACGAGCAATTAAATTCTGGAAAAATATATCTGTCGTGTATAATACGCACAGATTTCTCTTACGTATCATTTCAGGCCGTCACCATAAACCATGAAATTTACGTTTTTTCAACTCTTTCACCAAAATTATATTCTAATAAGAGCCCCTTATTTCATATTTTGAGAGTGCCCTGGGCGCTTATTACGTCAAATACGGTAACTGACAATACAGACATAAACATTTGAGAAACAATAAAATATGGTGCATACAAGTGACTGAGTTGGGTTTAATGCCACTTTGAACAGTATTTCAGTTATATCATGGCATGTCAGCTTTATGTGGGATGAGAGCCCGAGGTGGTGCAGGGATCAGACATTCACCACATCGGTGAGTGAGTGAGTTGGGTTTAATGCCGCTTTTAACAGTATTCCAGTTATATCACGGCGTGTCAGCTTAATGTGGGAGGAAAGCCCGAAGTGATGCAGGTCTCAGACACTTACCACTTCGGTGAAACCCACAAGCACGGGTATGTTGCTGACAAACCTAGAAACATAATCGGGGCGAACCGCACAACTTCGGTGACAACCTTGAGCAGGGGTATGGTGCTGACAAACCTAGAAACATAATCAGGGCGCACCGCACAACTTCGGTGACAGCCTTGAGCACGGGTATGTTGCTGACAAACCTAGGGACATAATCAGGGCGAACCAGGATTCAAACCCA